TTGGAAGCGTCTACTTTTGTTTGCCCTACATAATCCTTTGTGGCAAATCCCTGCCATGTACGATCTCACTTAAACTTCTTTAACCTCGTCAAGAATAGTCTTATTTGATTAAGCTTATTAATTTTCAGTTACGTTCAGAAAGCTCATTTATGCTTTGGAACTCGAGGCTATCGGTCTCTTAATTTACTCGGAACAAAATATGTAGCCATGCCATTGCGACTTTAATTTACTGTACAAGTACCTTATTGAGACAATCATGGCAAGATCATATCAGAATAAGATTTCTGATATTCATTCGTCCGCTATTACTTAAATGTTTAACTTGACGCATTTCAATAGTCATCCGCGAATAACTTCCACCAGACCAACCAAACCAACTTAAAGGCACTAGCATTTGTCAAACTGTCTGCCTGGATGCCATTTGTTTAGTTATTATTTTGTGATCCGATAGAACGGAGGTATGTAGAGAAACAGCTTCGATGAATCTCTTAATGGATTGATGTTGAAGTACTTTTCATTTCTCTTGAAGAGGCGAGTGGCAGGGGTTCGTAAGTTGATTCCACTGGAAGCTGTGTGGGGATTCCCTTGGATCTGTGATTGTAGATTTGTGCGAATAGGTCATTGGCGCACCGCCCTGCTACCCCGGTGAGTCCTTGCCAGCCATCTTCCTTTCCTTCATATTTTTGGTGTCCTCGTCTGACGATAGCAGACACATGACGGACGAAGGTTAGCAAGGATTCATCGGGTTCACATGGCGGTGGGCCGAAGACCTATTCGCACAAATCTACAATCACAGCTCCAAGGCAATCCCATCACAGCTTCCGGTGGAACCAACTTACGAATTCCTTCCACTCGCCTCTTCAAACGCAACGAAGGGTGCTCCAGTACGACAGAAGTCAGTCTCTAAAATATAAAACGCTTGAACTCTTCAATTTGATATAAAGTTGGATACTCCGGGTCGTATTACCGAGTGTCCTATTTAGAAGAGGTTGAATTACAGTTTGTGGCTAAGAATAGAAAGCCAGTTATTGGAGGTGGCGCGTAATAAAGGAGTCCAAACTCCGCGGGTTACAGCGGTGCGAAGGAAGAGGAGTAAGACTTGACCGAGCCAGTTGCTCAAAATACACTTGCGTAGTTTTGCAAATCGCTTTCTGATTGGCTCAGAATATACTCACGATGCTATGTCAAGCTTTGATTGGCCGATGCAAAATAGTGAAGATTAGATACATATGCGAGATTTTCCGACTTATCAACTAACAATTGAATTAGTCATATGTGATGTGTTAAAAGTTGTTGAGCCATGGCTACATACGTGATGTAACAAAACTAAAGCCTGGGTGGGAAAGTGGGGATAGGTCACTATAACTAATGATTAGTAGGTTACTAAAATTCCATATATATAATTAATTCACCAACTTAATTGCTCTGATATTTCATCTACTCATCTTGTTCAGGTAGACATCTTTCATATGATCAGCGATGTCTTCCTAGCTGCTGTGAACGAACCTTTCCCTCGTGGTATTTCACACTCGCCACAGTCTCGCGCCATTTACGCCGTTGATCTGATGCTCGAATGGCAAGTTCTGGACTTCAAAGCCAACTCTGCATCATCTTGCTTACACAGAATGAAACCGCAAATATGCGAGGTCAATTTTTGCCCAGATTTCCAACGGGCTTGTCAATACTATCCGAACTTTTTAAATCAGGCCTTCGATTCCCTGTTTTTTGAAACCGAAGAGTCCCTTAGTTGGTCTACCAGAATAGTTTGATCCGACCTGCTGCCATAGATATCAATTTCTCCTGGGGCAATGTAAGAATCTAGAGCACAATTCAATAAATATTGTCTACGTGCACTTCAAGTTATAACTCCATGAATATATCGACTTATTTTTAACTCTTTCTTTTAATCACACCGGATGCATCTGACCTGCAAGCTCATTTTTATTCCAAAGCTAATCCGTTAGATGTCAATGCAATTTGCATTCAAAGACGCATTCTCACACTAGATAAACCGCTGTTTTTGTCCACCTTGTCCTCCTCAAAACCATAAAGGACTGTGTCCAGTGGCTCATCGACAACGTGCACAAATTTCATTTCTTTTGAAAGCGTAGATAGCGCGTAGCCGAAACCACCTATTTTGAACGAAATAGTACGTTTGGCAATTATCTATCATTTTGAGGACCTCTAAATCGATTTTAAATTGGGATCAAGCCTTTTATAC